GTGTGTTTTTATGACACCAATGCTGAACAAATTGTTCAAACTACAAAGGTAGAATGAATGGTGAGGGATTAACTTGTCAAAATCTTGTTGATTACTGAGAGCACACAAAATTTCATTGATTATAAGTTGCTAAAACAATGTTGCCTTCTCTTTACTTGAATTATGACAATTTCTTACATTTTTGTTTGGCCCTGAAATTCACAGTTTACCCAAATCAATGTTTGGACCTAATTTTGCACCATTGACCCATTTAGTTGAGGCAATTGGATGAATTAATATATTTTTTTTCTAGATATTACTGCCAATCTTAATTATTATAGTAATTATCTTGGTATGAGCTTCAAAATGAGGATAAAACCAAAAAAGGTTGTTCAACAAGAAGATGGACTCCATGATTTTCTTGCTAAGTTTTTTTAGTAGCCGAGTAATTGGATTGATTTGAATTTATACAAAGACCATGCATGCCAAGCATTATCCATTGCTGATTATTTAATTATCCTTTGGATAAGGATTTTATTTGTTAGTCAGACAAAAAAAAAAAAAAAAAAAAAAAAGGATTGATCTTGCTAATTTTTTGCACCCTACACACACAAGAACAAAAACATAAATTTCTAGAATGGGATTGCATGCACAGATTGGCAATGATCCTTCTCATTATCCAAGGATATTCTAGTCGTTCGGTCAGGATGGATTATTATGCAAAGATTGGTGATGTGATTATGACCACATGCTGGTCAAAGATGAAATATAAAAAAACATGGGATAATGGTCAGAGGTAGTAATGCAATTGAAATGTAATTTGCTTTATCATTGCATGGATGCATTTGGACAAACAACATGAATAAGGGAGTCACCTTATTGGAATATGAAGCATGACTTAGACACTATCACATGGTCTTTCATTGGATCAACGTGAAAATATATGACAATATCAAGATGAGCTTTGTCATTTGCTCATCAAGCAAATTCAAATATTTCACTGCTATAAATATTGGATGATGTGCAACAAGAAGAGCCTCTTTAACTAAAAAAACAACTTAAACACTCTACATGAAACCTCACCTTATGCAAAACCTTCTCATGCCCCTAAAAAAAATACTAAGGACCCATTTCTGTAGTTGTAATCAGAATCAAAGGGCAGAATTATTTCCGATTACGAGATATCCTGACGTTTGCCCAATATTGGGGAATAAAAAACGTTGTGGGACCAACCCGAATTATGGAACCAAATTCCAAAATTTGGAGGAACTATACCTAAATTTAGGTGGTATTCTGATTCCGGGTTGTTAGGAATCCATAATGGATTTTTACTCGTTATAATATCCTCCTTATCTCAAATATTACAAGATTGCCATTCACATCTTCATCTCTCTTCCTCTCTCACGACCATTCAACCATCCAAGGCACACTCTGACCTGACCACCCCTAACCCAGCCCAAACCACCATTTGTCTTCCAATATCAATGTCTCAAGCTTTCACTGTCTTTGACTTTACCAAATTAGGATTTTTCAATCTCAGTAATCCTTAGAATCCCCTTCTTTTTCTCATCTTGTCATTCAGATTCATCTCCAAACTCTTATTTGGTACTTGTTACAAAATCTACTTCGACTTCACCATGTTCAGCTTCTTATTTTGAAAAAAGTTCGAGGACGACTAGAGGTGCCATGACACACCCTGACCCACAATGTCCACCTGAACTCCAAATCAAGTTATGTTAGCTGACACCTGGAAGGTAACGAAACCATAAGGTGTAGTGAGGTGGAAAATGTAAGTAAATTTAAGCCTAAAGGTGTCTAAATATAAGAGTGTGCATGTGAGCAGGTTGAACCCAATTCACACATGATCCAGAGCATAAGTAAAGTACAATAGAGATAAGGGGAAAATTATACCCTCGAAGGTAATCTCCAATACCTAGATTTGCCAAGAATATTCGTCGATACAAAAGCTTAGCTACTAAAACCTGGAGGGGCAATAAAAACAAAGGTGAGTGGGCCTAAAAATACAACTTTGTAAAAACCTTTTCAAAAACATAATAACATCTCGCCGTAAAACAAGTCTAGTTTCCAAAATATAAATACTACGTATAGTATGAAAATACTTACCGTAGCCTGCAATATCTCAAGAATTCAATACGTCATAATATTTTGTGAATAAACACTTAAAGTCCAATAATCACATAATCTCGCATAACAAACATATCATATTGAGTGCTTATCAACATATGTTGACACATGAGTTCATGTAGAAATATTTTGACATGAATGGGACTGGGTGCATTAATGATTTACGCTCTAGTACTACAATCGCATGAAGATTGGCGTTATACGCATCACATACGAGTCCTAATTGCCTATAGCAATCTAGGACATGACTTGCATCTACAATGGATCCAAAGTGAGCGTGCGGTGCGGTGCGATATGAACATACAGGTGAAGCCTAGCCCTGGCCTGGGCGAGTACTAACACCAGTGTAGCACACGATAAGCAGATAGGCTAAATATGATCATGCCACAGTAATTCAATCATTCTAGTTATAAATATAATTAAGGCATCCCTGTATAGTATGCTTACATGTGCATCCCGTAGGATGATAATGATTTCCTAATTCTTATTATTACAACATTTCTTATAAACGCTAATTTAATTATGGCATAATATATAAAATTCGTTATTAGATGTATATATAGAAACTAAACATAAATATAAGAAAAGAGCCACTCACAGATACTTGCGATGTCACATCCTTTCAAAAAGCTGGAGTCTCCGTTAGTAATCGTACCTAAGCATAATATTAGCATCCGTTAGTAAAACTCAATTAAAATAATTAAATTTAGGAAAACAGAGTGCGGATTTGGAATCAGGGCATCGAAATACGTTAAGTAGGGTCCCATGCAATTTTCATAAAAAGTCAACAGTCAACCATAAAAGGTCAATCGTGCCGTCGAGGTAGTCAACTATGTTAAAACTTCGGAATTTCATTAAATGGATGTCAAAAACAAACTCGGGGTGTCGAAATTAGACTAGCAGGGTTTCCGAAATTTTTTTGTAAAAGTCAACACAAGGAATATTTTGGAATATTCCAAAAAAAATTCAGGAATATTTCAGATCCATTTTTGGAAATGGGCCAGATCTGGTCAACGGGCCAAAGGTTTGGGCTTAGGCCTTTTTTTTTTCCTATACTGGGTCGGCACACGTGATGCACTCTTAAGCACTTTTAAGTTTAAATTTATTCACATTTTCAACATCACTACACTTTATGACTGCGTCACATTTTGGGTGTCGCCCAACATATCTCAATTCGAAATCCAGGTGGACATTCTGGGTCGGGGTGTGTAATGCCAGCAAGAAGATCTTCGAGAATGTAGAGTTGGTGATGGGCGGTGGGCTTGCTCTTGAACTTTCCCTTTTCCCATTGTTTGAATCCAAAATGAAAACGGAACAACATTGGAAAATTCCTGTTCAAGAATTTGGTAAAGAAATAATTGGAAATTTTGGTGGATTATGGTGTTTATTTGGGGGGCAGGGTTCGATAAAATTTGATTGCGAAAAACTCTAGACGAGTCATCCATTTTTGATATGTGAGCTGCATGTTTAATCTATTTACAATAATTATATTTTAATTCTTCACTTTAACTAAACAAATAAAAATAACTAATTGAAATGTTATTAAAAATAAATACAGGGATATAATAAAACAAAAAACAATAAGGGCATTTTTGTAATCATATTAATTCACATTCAAATTCAAATAAATTAATAAACAACTTATATGAACTCAGTTCACTTCTTCTTCGATTCCAAAACATTTAAGTAAACAATTTCAACAGGAATCAAATTATGACTCTTCCTCATTCCAACTCCTTCTCATATCAATTCTTCCTCATCATATTCCTCCTAGTTTGATTATAGTTATGTAAACAAGCCATAACTATCCTAACCCTTTCGCCATATATCTTCTATTTGGATTAACAACATTGTGTTGGCATTGAATTTGGATTAACATAACTGAAATCGTAGAATTAGGCAACCTGGGAGCATCTTTAGTTTGGACTAATAATACTGCTTCTGTTTCAGTTGATTATTTATCCAAGTCTTTGTCGGTGAAGAGTCATTGATTCTCTCGCTGAATGAGGTCACTTTATTTGTTTCTTGGCGAAAGAAGGTGTTACTCAGGTTACTAAGTGTTTGGCACATTAAAAGCCAAATCTTTTATTGAACTTCATGGTAAATGCAATTTGCTTTCATGTTCCAGAATCTTAGGCCCAGAGTGTTCCTTCTTTGGCCGTAGTCGCTTAGTTTAGAAATCAGTAGCATGTTCGAAACCATACCACCACATGTATTCTACTCACCCGTCCAAGCTCGGTCACGAGTTGGCATGTCCACATTCACAAAAAGGATGTAGTTAACTCGGTAGTTGCTTGACCTAGGCTTTGTAATTTTTAGGGTCAACAAATTTGTATCAAAGTTATGCCCTTGCAACCAATTTCTTTGTAAATTGTAATGTTGGGTAAATTGTTATCGTAAATAAATGAATTATATGTTATCGTAAGTTCGAAATGTAGGTCTAAAAATCGAAAGACATTCTGCAGTAGTAGTGCAGCAACATCGGAGCTTTATGGGTTTCTTGACAGCTGAGTGGAAGATGAGCATGCACCTCAAAAACCCATGAGGAAATACAAATACCTCACAAGAATTCACAACTAGAAAGTGCGTGAGAATTATTGAGGGGAATTTTGTATAAGAATTATTTGGCAGATATCAAGCTTGTCCAAAGTCGAACTTAAAACTAATAAATTTTTGAAGGGCTATATTTACCTCTTTCGATTGAAATGGGACATGAATATGATCCAAAACTTCATTAAAAAATAATTTTTTACATAACTATAAATTTAGACGCGCCATAATTAGGTATGGTTTGGCATTGAGGTGCTGAAAAAAAAGCTGCTTATTTTCAAAGTTTTTATGTTGAAGATATTTGGTAAACTAAAAAAAAAAGGGGATTATTTTGAAAGCTGCTGTGATTGACAGCTGAAATCATCAGAAAAGCTGAAGCAGCTAAATGCTGATTTGGAAAACTGGCTTTCTTTCACAGCACACTGAGCTACAGTACACCTTTAATGAAACTTTCTAAAGTCCAATAACACCCTCATCATTTTTACAAAATGACAAGCCTTGTTCTTGATACTTAAACTGGAATCTCTCACAGCCGTTCACCCCCTCGCATCAAAGTAGGACCGCAGCCGTCCCGCCCACTCCCGCTCAACACCGACCACCACCAAGGCACCAACATTCATCCCTGTTCTCCTTCCAGATCCTCCAAATACACAAATTAGAAAAAGATTCAATCTTTTTGAGAAACCATTTTTGAAAATTTGCCGATTGGATCGAATCCCAGAATCTGAGTGAGAATCAACCCAGAATCTGAGCAAGAACCAGTCCAGAATCCGAACGAGAAAAAGATTCCTGCTTGCAATATTCCCTCTTCAACCCAGAATCCGAGTGAGAATCAGTCGGAATAGATGAGAGAGATGATCAGATCGGATCCAATGCTACATCTCCGGTCATCAAAGAAATGAAGTTCCGATTTAGAACAAGCAATCAAGAAGCTGAAAACCAAATCGAGAACGATAAACAAAACCCCAAAATAAAAACACATACCAAACATCGACTGGGAAATATCTAAACCAATCCACTGATGCCCACTCTCTGACAACCTGCAATGAAAACCTCAATCACTCACTCAGCTTTTTTCACCATTTCAGTGAATAAAATCAAACCCCTTTTGGATTTTTTACGAAAAATTGAATTGAAAGATTGGGGGAGTTAGGGTTTTGAAATATTACCCATGTTGAGGAGCAGCCTGGGGATGCCATCGTCGGGAAGAGCGAGAAGCTCGAGGGCTGGTGTTTCTAGAATTCTAAAGAGAGATTAAAATAAAAAATTATAAATAAATAAAATAAGTTATATTAGATAATTATTGTTTTATATTCTCTATCTTTTATTTATTAAGAAAATTAAATTAATGACACATCTAATATTATATCATTTTTTTATCATTTCACCCAATCATTTTACATAAAAGTTTATTAAACACTATAATATTATTATTATTATTATTTTCAAAAACACTTTTACATAAAAATTTATCAAATATTTTACTGTTTTATTTCAGACTTATTCTCAGGTAAATAGTTTTTTTTGAAATCACACTAATACCAAACCCCGTTCGGTTGGGTCGATCGGAGACGGACTAATCGCGAGGCTTAACCGAATCTAGAGGTTGCACTGATCCAATTTTAGGTTGTAACGCTTGACCACGTCGATTCAACGAATCGACACTATTCTAGCAGTCAGACAGTCCACATCCAAGAGTTTGTTCAGCAATGGCTGGATTCCGGTTGGGGTCAGATGACTCGGAGATATCGCAGCAGAGCCGAGCAGCACCGCCTGATCTCGTCTCCGACGACGACCGCTCCATCGCCGCCGACTCATGGTCCATCAAGAGTGACTACGGAAGCACTCTCGACGACGACCAGCGCCACGCCGATGCCGCCGAGGACCTTTCTGCTGCTAACCTTCGCGCCCCCTCCGAGTACAGGTTTGCTTCCTCTCTACTTCCTGTTTGGTTTCCAGGAAAATCTTTGTAAATGAAATATTAACTAATTAATTAATTAGTGCAAAATTAAGTTATTAAGACTAAGTTTTTGCATAGCTTGTTGTATTTATGCTTTTGCAATTCTGAATTTAGAGGAAGAATTCATAGGCTATTAGTTTAGGAAGAAATTTTCTTTCTTTTGATATGGTGGTATTTGCAGTTCTGACAAGGAGGAACCAGATGCTGAAGGAGTGACATCAATGCTAGGTCTTCAGAGTTACTGGGATGCTGCATATGCCGATGAGTTGGCGAATTTCCGGGAACATGGTCATACCGGTGAAGTTTGGTAAGCTTTTCGCAACCGTGCAAATTAACTTGTTATTCATTTGTTATGGCTTTGGGGCACAGCAGAAAACAGCCAAGTGCTAACATCAAAGAAAAGTCCCGAAATACCCAGAATCGAAGAAAAATCTTGAAGGGCGAGCGAGAGATTATAGAGAGAAAGCTTTAGTATTGTCTGAGAAATTAAAATGAATCTGATAAACTCTGGTATTACAGAGGAATTATTATTAGCTTATATATTTAAGCTAACTGAAGCTAACTAGCTAACAACCACAATACCAAAACTGTTAAAAATGATCTAAACACCATCATGTGAAGATCACATGAGTTAATTTTTAGTAACATACTAATTAGCTATATGATATGCATTTACTGCTACTTTCAAAGAGCCTTAGGAAAAAGATATTCATAATAGTGAGGGGAGATTGAAGAAAAAGGTGTTAACAAGATTGATATCATTTACATTTCAACTATATAAAATGAAAAGGAGTTGATATTAAAATATTATTGGCTGTGAAAATCAATTTTGTCGTGATTTACCAGAGTTTGCTAACCTTTAATCCTTACTTTTATAATTCCACATTAGTGAGGGATTCGTATTTAGTATCCCTTTGTATTAAAGTGAGTAGGTACTGTAAGACGGGGAGCGTTTGATGGTTTCAGCCCTCTGTTTCTGTAGGTTTGGAACTAATGTCATGGAAGTTGTCTCCTCTTGGACCAAAAGCTTATGCATTGATATTTCTCAAGGTCGCACACCAAATCATGATAATAATAAGTCTGATCCTGTGGAAAAAGGTGATAAGTATCTTGCAGGCTGGAGTGTACTTGACATCGGGACTGGCAATGGATTGCTTCTTCAAGCACTTTCCAAGCAGGGGTATTCTTTTATTCTTCAACTTTATCTGGTATTCTATGCTGAATTAGATTGAAATTCCTGTATGGAAGCAAATAAAATGCAAACTAGGTGAATCATATATCAGATTGATATGTCTAGATTGGAGACCATAAGGCTTCCGCAGGTCTCATTTTAAGGTCAACAAGTTGACCATAGATGAGAATCTCAGTATTTATACGCTACTTGGTTAAAGTCAATTGTGCATTTAGATTTAATAGAATGATGTAGTAGTGAAGAAAGTGAACTATCTTAAGATAAATTGGTAACAAATTTGATGGAAGTGTATATGTGCTTAAATATTTATTTGTAGTGTATAATAAGTTTTCGGATTTAAATGAAGAAACTTGAATGATCAGGAGGAGGAGCTAACAGAGTCATTGGTTGTCTTATAGAACAATTACTCTAGCTTCTTGTGTTGCATTATTCTGTGAGAGGTTTAAGTGTTTTTATGGAAAAAGATGGGCATGGTGCTAGGGAGATGTGCTGTCATGGAATGGAAATCTTATGGATGGTATGGATATTAAAGAATAGAAGTGTTTTTTTTGATTTTGAGGGAGCAAGGGAATGAAGAGGTGGATCTTCTCGGCAGTAGGAGGTCATTTTTGGGCTCTTTTCGGGCGTCAGTACGGTGGTATTTCCAGAATTTGGGAATAGTTTTTTTTGAGCTATATTGTATTGCTGGAACTCTGCTGTACAGTAGTGTTTTTATTGGTCTGCTGCCATATATCTTTGCTTCTTAGCTACGTTTTGCAGTCTTTGTTGAAATGTTTAGCTAGCATCTTGTAGCTAGTTCAGTTGACAACTTGGTCCTCTCTATTGTTTGGTTCTTTTTTAATGATATTATGTTCCTGTTCCTTAGAAGAAAAGAGTAATCGGTTCTGTGGCTTAGTCTTGAAGAGCATGCAATGAGTGATGCACAAAAAAAAAAGTTCCACTTATTTTAGGATACATGCAGGATTAAAAACTACTTATGTTTAAATGAACTTTAATTATAATTATTTAGTAGGAAATTTGGTGTAGGCCAATAAATAATTTCATATTTTCAGTTATGGTCGATGGACATTTCATTTTCTAACATAGGTAGAAACAATTTTCCTCTTCAACTAAGATCAATAATTACAAGTTTCATTTCCAGCTCAATTCCACTTGCTAAAATGTCTCTTAATTGACCTCTCATTAAAAGCAAAAAATATTGACAGACTCAATCTTTGAATTGAAAATATGTTGTGACCTCAATCTAATTACCCCTTAATTTATTCAGAACGATTTAGGTTAGGGTTTAAATTAATAGTTTAATAATGAACTTGATTTTATTAATATAATTATTATTCTTGTTATTGACTTCTGATTATGCTAGTTATTTTATTATTATGAGATTGCATGTATTACATGGGCCTTATTGTTGTAATGTTTTAGACTTTCTTATCATAATCCAGTCCTTGATAATCGAATCAACACTGCTATCAAGTTTCACTAACCTACATACTTTCAAGTGCAATCACTGTCACCACTGCACATACGACATATTTGCCGCTGTTAGATGATGCTTCCTTTACCCTTATGGTTGGGTATTTCACTATTTTGTTATGTTTCATTCATTCCTATGTAATTTATGTTTGTCTTTGGTCCCCAATTCACCCCAAAAGAATATCATTCCAAAAACTATGCCTGATGAATGTCCTTTTTTGTCCTTTGATTTATTTTTCCTTCCTTGTTGGATGGTTGTGAAGAAGGGCTGGGAGTGTTGTAAATAAAAATTCAGTCCATGATTTCATGAAATTTTAGTTAATGACTTGAATTCCGTTGTTTTTCTAAATTGTCACATCAGAGACCTTAATGAATGAAATTTTGGTGTTTTGGGTTCAGGTTTTCTGATTTAACAGGAACTGATTATAGTGAAGGGGCAATTGATCTCGCTCGCAGCCTTGCTGATCGTGATGGATTGCCAAACATTACTTTTTTGGTATGCCTTTTCTTTTGGCAAATGTTTTCTGGTGTGTCTAGACTCTAGACAAAAAAATATCAGATTATAACCTGCTGTCTTCAATTATCCTCTTGGACGTTTGTATATTTCCGTTCAATGAAATTTCTCTTCTTAGCTTTAATGTCGTCTGTATCTAGCTTGTTATTAAACTATTTTTTTTAATACATTCTTTCCCAATAATTTTAAATGAATTGTGTGCCACTATTTTTTAGGTTGATGATGTTCTAGAGACCAAGTTGGACAGGCAGTTCAAACTAGTTGTGGATAAAGGAACCTTGGATGCCATTGGATTGCATCCAGATGGTTCTATCAAAAGGTAAAAGCCAGCATAGTCTGCAACTCTTTATATATTTTCTGATTGATAATTCCTCCATGTCTGTATGAATGATTTGTTTAGCCTATTTAATCGCTTGTGGTTATCGAAGAAAAGGAAACTAGAGTGTGAAATTGTGAAATTGTGTTTTTGTTATACAGGGTAATGTATTGGGATTCCGTTTCAAAATTGGTGGCTCCTGGTGGATTAGCAGTAAGCATCTTCACTTTGGTTAATACTGTTACTTAAAACTGCACTTACCTTCATTTAGGGCGTGCTTTCAAGTGCTAAAAGGAAGAGTATAGATAACGTATGTCGTTATGAACCATAGCGCTTCCTGCATGATCACTTTGAAAGTGCTTTGGTTCTGTTTTCGGCCATATGAGAAGCACTTTTAATTATTTGAAATTGCTTATGGCACGTGCCAGAATCATGCACTCTTTCTTTTCTCTTTAAATTTCTCTTTAAGAAGTTTTTGTTTCGTTCGACGCTACCTGATGTTTCATTGCTTTGGGGAACACCTTGGTAGGTGATCACATCATGTAACAACACAAAGGATGAATTGGTTCAAGAAGTGGAAAGTTTCAATCAAAGAAGTGTCATCCAGGAACACGAAACAAGCGAAGATCCTCCTAAGTTTCAATACCTTAGTCATGTCCGCACATATCCGACATTCGCGTTTGGTGGATCTGTTGGATCGCGCGTTGCCACTGTGGCATTTCTCCGGAACTGAATCACTAATCCTTGCGAGTTATAGTTACGTTGCGCATTGAGAAAGCACATGTACTGACTTATGCAAGTTCTTTTGTTTGTTTTGAGAACCATGAAACACTCATTCATTCTAAGCTGTTTCTTCTGTCAGGGCTTCTGCGAGTTACGCAAAAATTATACAGAAAATGTACATTATCAATCGAAGTCACAGTAAGATGGAAAGAAAGCTACGTGATGAGGCCGATCGCCCCTTAGAAGTGAAGTCCTATTTCAGACTCTTTGAACGGGGAGGAAGTGAAAAGAAATTTTAGAAGTTCCAATTTCGAGTAGAAAAGGTTGCTCTTCTTACTCGTCTATCGTTGCTAGTTCCTGTAATGTATTTTGGTGGTTTACAAACTGCGTTATCGTTTCCTCTAATCCTACGTTCTATATATATATATGATTTAACTCCTTGTTTTATTCACGATAACAACATTGATCTAAAGACAATTTAAAAGAGCATTAAAGAATGGGGATGTAGAAAAGGCATAAAACGGTAAAGGTAAACCAAATGGTCGACGAAATGCCTTATTGAATAAATTAGAAAAATATTTTGGTATTGCGTTCGCCATTGTTGGGATACAACAGAAATAGAGTTCCGCATCCATCACTGCTTAGTTGTGCCCATGATGAACTAGCTTCTATCTTTGCTCCTACTCGTCATAGATGGAGCCCGCATTAGATTTATTTTGTGGCACTTGATTTTTTTTTCACTAGTAATAATTTAATGTTAATCGTGATTAAGCCACCTAATATATCATGTACCCTTAGGATGATGGTGAGAAGTCACTATGAGACTTTAAACCCCAAAATCATGAAAAACAACTCCGAAGTTGCCCTGCACACATGGTTTTGCACACTTTTGTTTATTTTTTGTTTCTTAGTTCTTCTTTGATTTATACAAATAAAAAATTTAATTGCGTTTTTATTAAAAGAAAAAGTATCAGAGGGTTAAAAAATAAAAACAATAAACATTTACTCGCAATGTTTGCAGAAATGCTAGTAAATTAGCTAGTCGAATAAAAAAAATGTTGAAATGCATATTGAATGGAGCTTTGCTGTAGAGATTTTAGCCTTACATGTTTTTTTCTTGGAATTTTACGGTTCGTTTACTAATTCGTACTTAGAATGATAGAAATCGAATTGAGGAGGAGTTGGATTATGGTGGAGTCAAAGTCAGATTCATGTTGCACTTCTTTACAAAATTTCTTGAAATCGGAGTAGGAAAAGAAGATGGAGGTGTGTTAGGGAAGGTTGGCTTGAGGATAAGGAGTGGGATAGGAGAGGGAGGTGTTTGCGACGGAAGGAAAGGAGAGGGAAGGTTCTGCTGGGCAGCGATTGGTGGTGTTGGGTAAACGGAGGGAATAATGAAATTTTAGAAAAAAAATTGAGAGTATAATGGAGAAGAAAATCCACTCTCTAATAACCTAAAAGTCAAATACCACCAAATTGCAAGTTCCCCAAGTTTTGGAGTTTTGGATTCTAAAATTTGTGTGGGTCCCATTAAATTTTGGATTATTTTATATTCAGTAAGCATCGAGTATTCTGTAATTTAAATTCAATTTCTTTTTTAATTCTAATCATTTTTACGTAAACGTGCCACTAAAATGAATAAAAGTGCTTTTGATAAATACATTTTTGAATTTCAAACGCATTTGAAATGCATTTTAGAAGAAATATCAATTCTATTTTTTTTATAAAAAAAAAAATTCGGTTACATTTTTCCTAAAAATATACAAAAAATAAATACTAAAGAACTTCAATATCAACCTCAAACGTCACAATGTTTTATTTGTTGATAACTTCTCTCTCTAAAACTACAGCCTGAGTTACCATCAGGGTAAATTATTACAGTTTTATTCAAGTAACCCAATAAATGAAATGTACTAAACTGGTGAAACAAACTACCGTAAAGTAATTGCAGTTTCCGAAAATTCGTTTTATCCGTAAATGCCGCGGGCGCCCATCTAATAAAATTCACTAATTCAGGAGGTGCCCAGATTAAGTTTCCATTTAATATATAAAGTCCACAACATAGTCTAACTGATTTGTCATCTACTCTCTCTCTCTCTTCTCTCTCTCCCCCCTCTTTCTCTCTCTACAACTCCCATTCTACTGGTGGAAAGAAAACTGACTGTAAATTCCGGCATTGACTGACTGACCCAGCTCCGACGACTCTCAGTCGTCTCACCGCCGGATCGGAGAGAGCTGAGCTGCCGCTGCCTCCCCTCAAATACATTTGCTATTTCTGTAAGCGTTTTTACATTTCAGAAATCGAATATTCTCTCTGTAATTTACATGTTAGGTGGGAGACTTGGTCTCTGAAAAATTTCTGAAATTTTCCGATTTGTGTTTCTTTCCGGAATTTGAATGTCGATATGGTAATTTGTAGCAATTTTCCGGTAGCGAGCGGATGCTGATTGTGTTATGCATTGCGTGGTAGGTGGGAGAGTATTTGGGTGTTTTGGCACCGGTTGTTTCCGGCAATGGGGATAAGAAACAGGAAAACCGGCGGCTTTCGATTTTCGGCCTAACTTATCTGATTAGGAGGCAAGGGAGAATGTTAGTAGAGATTAATGTAACAGACAAGTCAAAAGAGACTTGGATGGTTTGAATTGTAGGGAATCAATCAAGGATGAAATTTGGAGGGGGATTTTTGATTCCCCAGGATGACGATTTACGAGTCACGGATTCTTGGGTACCGGTGACTCCACAGAAGCCGATTCCAGTGAAGCCTCATCCGGTCCCGGTCAACCTTTATGGGAACCTCCGTCAAGGAGGAAATTGGCAACAGCAGTTGACTGGAATTTCAAGGGAGCATGTACCGGTGGGGGCTAGTTACAATGGCATGGCTCAAGCTGTTTGCTCAAATGATCAGCTACTTAGAAATGGTTTTGATGGAAGTCCGGGGGAGAACATTCAAATGATCAATCACATTTCGGACTCCTACGTTGCAGGATCCTTTACACAGTTGCTCTTTGATGACAGCTCAAGTTGGAACGATAATCCAATGACACAACAGCTGGTACATGATAATGCTGCGTATGTTGCCTCTGCAAACAGAAACCCGAGCAGAAGTGTGGACATAGCAGCAAACACACCTCTAATTCCTAAGTTGCATCCTGAAATGAGCAACCAAGGAATCGACTCGGGCAGCTTCTTGCTAACCAACCAAAATTGCAACAATGGTTCATATCCTTGGAGTAATGTGGGCATAGCAACGAACACACATCCAATTCCTAAGTTGCATCCTCAATTAAGAAACCAAGGAATTGACTCGGACAGTTTCTTGCTAACCAACCAAAATTGGAACAATGGCTCATATCCTTCAAGTAGTGTGGATGTAGCAAAAAAGACAAATCAAATTCCTAAGTTGCATCCTCAATCGAGCAACCAAGGAATCACCCCGGGCAGTTTCTTGCTAACTGACCAAAATTGCAGCAATGGTTCATATCCTTCAAGTAATGTGATGAGCACATCATTGGTTATGGATTTTCCTTCTCAAGTTGACAACAGTTGTAGAGATTCCAACTCAGTTCATTGGTTATCTGCGGATCAAAATCACTGTTCAAGTTCAAATTCAAACCCATTGAGTAATGGTGACGGCTCATCCCAGACATGCCAGTGTAAGCATTTTAAATTAGTTCATATCTGTGTCATACTTTGCAAAGAAAGATTTCGACCATCTATTGTTTTGACTAATAAAAAACTGAAACTTTGGAGAAACAAAATAAGTAGGCATTTGATATCATGTACCACAAATCAATTTCAAGTCACAAAAATCATGTCTTATGTGACAAATAACTGATTCAAATTTTGGAATATTATCATATATGAGATCATTTCCAAGTGGAACTTTCATGTCTTCATATATCAACTCAATTGCACGTATTTATTGCATTTAAAAAAGAAAGTTCTAATAATAATGTAATAATTCACATCATAAACAACCGTGTCTTTATGTTTCTCTTGTAGTTTTGAAGCAACGATGCACTATAACTTGTTTATGATATAAGACTTCTAATGTAGATTAAAAAAACCAAAACAAGAAACAAAAACAAAATACGCTTAAACCAGCTTCATTTTGGCACAAACACTACCTTTGAGGAATGACTTGATGTTACTGGATGATGTTAACCTAAAACAAAAGAAAAGCAGCGGGAAGCGGGGCAAAGAAAGCAACGTAACACATTTTGAATGCTGCTAGATAATTGTGATTCTTAGTATTATCCTCCCTAGATACCCACTTAAACATAGATGTGATGGTTGCCTCTCAAAATCCAGTGGCTAGTTGCACTTGAAAGCCTAAAACCTTCACACTTGCACCGTACAACAGCCTTAGGCAATAAACCAACAGAAATAAGCAATGCATGAAATGTTTCAATCTCATTTGAGTTCTTTCGAAAATCAGAAATTTACGAAGTAGAAACATTTATCACTTGGCTGTGCCATACTGCATTTTGAGTGGTCTTGAAATCATAATCAAGTTCAACTTTAAGGGACAAAATATCTTAATGACCATACAAGTCCGAAAATCCCTTCACTGTTAAAATTGCTTGACAGAAAAACTGTTTTTCTGCACAGATGGTTTCCCTTCACCACTCCTGTCAAGCTGTGACCTAAACTCCTTACCAAGAATAGAAGCTGACGCTTCCCCATGTGTTGCCAGCCAACACCAGTTCACAACAGACCAGAACAAGAATTTGGAGAACGACCAGCTTTCTGCAATACTGGAATTCTTGAAGGATGAAGATTCTGGCAAGGAAAAAGACAATCAGGTGAAACTAACCATGTCTATAGAAGATGAAGCAATTCAAAAATATAGTGACGAACTCTTGCAGAACATTGTGGAGTCGTCATCTGCAGCCATTTCTACACCGTACAAGGAAAACAAAGATTCTGACAGGGAAGGTGACAGAGGGATTGATCTAAACATGACACCGCAGCAGAAAGCACCAAAGCGAAGAAAACATAGGCCCAAGGTAATCAGAGAAGGCAAGCCCAAGGGGACACCAAAGCCTGCAACTCCAAACAATACAGAGTCTAAGGAAAGCCAACCAGCGAAGAGGAAGTATGTAAGAAAGAGTGTTCAAAAGGAATCCCCAAGTCCACTGGGAGATGGTGCAAGGGAAACAATGGACCCTAATGGTGGAAAAGGTGCAAAATCATGCAAAAGAGCTCTGGATTTTGATTCGGAAAATACCATGGATGAAAACCAATGCAAAGCAGGTGGTCAACAAGAGCAGATGCAACAAGGGATCAATATGAATTTTGATTCTCAAGGGAAACCTATGGTCCCTGGAACTAACCAGGGTTTTAAAGCCAGGCCATCCGAACAAAGTGTCATACAGAGCAAATTGAAGGTCGAAAACCAGATTCCAGGAACTATGAATAACTGCACCTCTTCCATGAATCTTATCTCAGATAACTTTGTATTCCTGCCAGAAAGGCGACCATCAGCATCCCTACTTGCTACAACAATAGACATGCATCTGAAAAAATCGCATGTTATGGGGAGACATGTAGAGAATGGGAGTTCTGATTTATCTCATAGAAGATACATAGATGGATACACTCCCTTTCAGCAACATACCCATGCTAAAGGAGTAGGTCAAGATGCCATTCGAGCGAAAACTAGCAGTGAAAGCCTTCAGATGAAAGAAAATATTACCCAGGGTAACTCTCAGTCAGTACAAAAGATCCTCTCCTTCTCTCTTCCAAGAGAAGTAAGGGGATCCAAGAGGGAGTATTGTCGAATGGTTGAGCATACACATCTTTCAACAAATCATCCACCTAGTTCACTATCTTGCCAAGATATAAAACAATTGGATGGCCATCAGAGAATGCTCAGCCAGGATATCTCACTACGTCATAAGCAGCAGAAATTTGAGAATGGATATTTGAGCATCTATAATATGCCTTGTGAAGTTACACCGGTTGAGGAGTGTCTGGGAATATTTGAAAGAACAAGGCAAAATACAGTCAACTCAAATGGATTCGCATCAAAGAACCATACAATGTTAAGTTCTTCCATTGAAAGTAATGAAAGGATGGACAGACAGAACAAGGGCATAGGCAGGTTTATGAGTGACGGTTACACTCACTCAGTCGCTTCTGGGAATAGTTTTCTAAATCCGCAGATCTCATCCGCACATTCATGCCAAGATTTCGCTCAAGTTCTTAGCTTTTCCACCCATTCCACAATTGAAGCCTGTAACCAACTAGGTTCATCATATCCCAGAAAATCCTTTCAACCGGGAAACAAGGAAGTATCTCAACCTCGCCACGATAATATGTTTAACATGAAGCAGACTGTGGGACCCACACAGGCAGGTATAGATAATGTCCCGCAAGAGAAGGATGCCTTATATGATTATCAGCAACCTTCTGCAAAAGCAATCGGTACTTTCTAACTTAAGAAACCTCTGAAAAATGTATCATCACAATAATTATTTTTAACTCATTTAGATAATGACAAACTCTTGATTTTGATGCAGGGTTTCCAGTGAGAAGATATACTACATTACCAGATGACATTGTACATAAATTTAATAATCTAAACCTGAATGGAAGATGCAGCAAAATTTTAGAGCATGAGCAAAATGCACTTGTCCCATACAAAGGAGATGGTGCAGTAGTTCCCTATGAAAGATTTATCAAGAAACGTAAGCCACGGCCCAAAGTAGAGCTTGACCCGGAAACAAATAGGATATGGAATCTCTTGATGGGAATGGAAGGGAGTGGAGGCATTGAAGGAAATGATAAGGAAAAGGAGAAGTATTGGGAAGAGGAAAGAAAGGTTTTCCAAGGCCGAGTTGAATCATTCATTGCACGCATGCATCTTGTTCAAGGTACAATACCTTATATTTTATTCCTAAATTGGATTGTCATGAACTACCATGCTGCATATGTTATAAATTTGTTACATCAACATTGCCGTCTACATGTTTGAGAGCTCTTTAACAGATTTAATTGCAATGTGTTGTAAAATATTGAAGCTTTGAACTAGAGAGGAAAGTTATCCTGAGATTCATTACTGAACTGTACTGCCTGTCCAACTGTGAAACTGTGAAACTGTGAAATGCAAGTTAAGCCACCCACCTAGTAAGCTAGAAAAGTAACACGTCCTTCCTTGTTTTAGTATTTTTATTTATATTTGTATTTATTTTAATTCTTTTATTTTTTGTTACAAAAGACAGGTTTTTCAGAACTAAAATAGAAGACTGAAACATTTTAAGGTGTTTTAGATAATTTAGATGTCTTGAGAAACAATAGCTTTACAGAAGATATATATATATATATATATATATGTATATATGTTGTGTGTGTGTGTATTCTTTTTTCAGCACAATAGTAATAAAAAAATTACATAAATTTAGGCCCTTATTTGTAATTGAGTGAATATGTAAACTGTAGATTAATAAGCTTGATAAGCAGTTGATGTAGTCCCTTCTTAATCTAAACTCCAAAATAAGCAATGATTGATATACAAGCCTTCTCATTACACAAAAAATGATTGCCTAGGAAGGATTCAAGTAAAAAAAAAGAGGCTAAAATATAGATAAATAGCATTAGCATTGTTATGTTAGCATACACATATTTTCCTAATTCAAGTTTAAAATCCACCCAAGAAAATAAGTTTATAAATTATCTTAAAGACCAGCTGTAGAGCCATGGCCAAATGGTTAAACCAGTGAACCATGACCTATTTGTCAGAGTCGGTGTCCGGTAAAACTTTGATAAATATGCAATGAGGCTCTGTCTAGCACAAAATTTGACCAATTTAAATGATCACAGTAATGATTATGTATATGAAGAAAAAAAATAATGATATTGTTATTAACAAAGATTTGAATGTTTTAAATTTCATACCACTTGACCACTTGCTAGGCTGACCTACCTTCCCTTTCCTCCTTTAGCACCAAATTTTCTGGCTCACATAACTACTTTAGTGGCCATCTGCAGAACAAATGCATTTTCTGTCAAGAAACCCGAGTTTTCAACTTTAGAGTCAATATTGAAAATGCAAACTCAACCAAGTAAACTCTAACTTGACTACTTATGAAACATATATAAACCAGGCCGGTACCATTTTTTATAAAGAAGTTTTTAATGGGGAAAGATTGTACGATTTGTAGTTCTCCCAATTAGACAACAGGTAAAAAGTGCTTTGGCTTCTCATGTACCGTAAAAATATAAATTCATTACAATTTTCTTCAAGTAGTGGATAGGTTCTTAAAGATAACATGCATGCCAACCCTTGATAAAATATTATAATCTATACAGGAGACAGACGTTTTTCAAAATGGAAAGGATCAGTTGTTGACTCAGTGATTGGAGTTTTCCTTACTCAGAATGTTTCAGACCATCTATCAAGGTAAGTTCACAATTTTAGCAAGTACATGCAACCAGATTCCCATACGTGAATTTCTTGAATTGAACAGTATTCTTTTTGTTCCTTTCACCTTTTGTAGCTCTGCCTTTATGTCTTTGGCTGCACGATTTCCACTTAAGTCAAGCAATCACCAAGCTCAACCCAAGGTTAGGACAAACATATTGGTTAAAGAACCAGCAGTTCACATGACAAGTCCAGATGATGCCACCAAATGGCGTGAAGACAGGTCAAGTCAACCAATCTATCACCCGATTTCTATGACACTCCATGAATCTGAAGAAAACCAGAAAGACAGAGAGACCTCAGGGACAGAAAGGAACTTAGTGGATGCACAAAGTCAATGTTTGGAGGAAGAATTTGTATCTTCTCAAGATTCTTTTGAATCCTCAGTCACTCAAGGTGCTTTAGGAATCAAATCGTGCTCGGGCTCCAACTCAGAAACAGAAGATCCTATCACTGGGTGCCAACCCAAGAAGGTTCATGTCTCCATTTCAACATGTCAACAGATGGAGAAGGGGACCAAGTTTCAGGACTTTTACAATCAAGTAAATGGAATTTCACTGTCATATGATGGATCCAAGAACGGGCATTTTAAATATGCACAGCTAAAGAGACAATCAGACAGAATCGATCATCTCAATGGCACTTCCTTCAAGGATCCAATCAATCTTGACGACGAAAAAATGCAAGTACCAGTTGCTCTTTCCAGCAACAATCAGTTTCACATGAACCCAGATTCTGGAAAACCAGAGCTGTGGAAATTTGGAAATTTTAGTGAGGAAAGCATATCCTCTTGGCCTACAACTGCTTCCAGGTTCAATATTGAACAGGAAGAAAATTGCAAGAGCTTAAGAACTGAGGAACTGTCAGGCAGTGTCGTTAATTCCTCCATGCAACAGAATACTTTGTGGAGTTCTCAAGGGACACCAACAAAGGACCCGTATCCGTCTTTCAGAGAGCACTCGACAGACCAGCAAAGTAATTCTCAACCAAGGTCAAGCACAGGATATAACCAACCTTCCCTCTACAGTCACCAATGCGAGGGGAACCCAACCTTCCAATCAGAACATAAATCAGTCACAGAGCCTGTAAAACATACCGAACCATTTCTGCCAAACAAGAGTGATAGCATGCAGCATGTCCAAAATGTCAGTGAGCTCAATAAAAAATCTTTCAATGTCATTGATAGTATCTCTGTAGCAAATAAGTATATACACATTGAAAATCATTTGGTTGATTCCAATTTACAGGAGAAATTAAATTCTTATGGTCAGTCAAATAGTGGGACAAGCACAAAACCTCCAAAAGGAAGAAAAGGAAAGGCTGAGAGCGAGAAAAAGAATGCAGTTGACTGGGACATTTTGAGAAAGCAGGCGCAAGCCAATGGTAGGAAAACAGAAAGAAAAAGAGAAGCAATGGACTCGCTGGACTATGAAGCACTCATAAATGCTAATCTCAAAGAAATATCTGACGCAATCAAGGAGCGAGGGATGAATAACTTGCTAGCACAACGAATGCAGGTTCTCTACTATTAGTGCCTAGTCTAAAGACCTCATGTTTGTTAATTTCCCCCAAGATAACATCACTGGATAGGTTTAACAATGATTGCAAAATGTTTGTAGGAATTCCTAAAGCGACTGGTTAGAGAACATGAAAGCATCGATCTGGAATGGTTAAGAGATGTTCCCCCTGATAAAGCAAAGTATGCCATTCCAAATAATTCATTTTCTTAAATAACATTACAACTGCCCCTTTTATCCAGAAGGTATCCAAATGCATGAATAATGCACTGCAGTGCATCAGTATGTAATTAATTAGTTGTGACATGATTATTCTGCAGGGATTATCTATTAAGCATACGAGGATTGGGCTTGAAAAGTGTGGAGTGCATCCGGCTTTTAACACTTCACCACCTTGCTTTCCCGGTAAAAATTGTGTGGCTACTATTTAGTTGTTTTCCTACGATAGTCTGGGAACATCTTACAATATAAGAAATATTGTTTCTTATTTGCTCTGTAAAGGTTGACACAAATGTTGGAAGGATAGCAGTAAGACTGGGATGGGTGCCCCTCCAACCATTACCTGAATCACTGCAGTTACACCTCTTAGAACTGTAAGAAATAATATCTTGACAATTGAATGCTTAAAACTTTTCCTGTACTTGCAAATGCTAACCGTATTCCTCTCTAGGTACCCAATGCTGGAGACAGTTCAAAAGTATCTATGGCCAAGATTATGCAAACTTGATCAACTAACCCTGTAATATCATAGTACCCTGAATCATTCGTATTAATATTGACGGCAGTTCTTTCTTTTTTACTTGCTGTTTTACTGATTAGCTGACTATTGAACCACAGTTATGAGCTGCATTACCAGATGATTACATTTGGAAAGGTACACATGGCGCTTCATTACTTAGAAACATAATTTTTTATTAATAAAAAAAATAAATAAGAGCCTCATATTTTCATATATATGCAGGTTTTTTGCACAAAGAGTAAACCAAATTGCAATGCATGTCCAATGAGAGGAGAATGTCGACACTTCGCAAGTGCTTTCGCAAGGTTTGAGCAATAATCTCTGGAAAAATTACAAGTATATTGATGTCATTGTGCAGGAAAATAAACACTGAAGCGTGTCACGAGAACCTTTACATTTTTTGGGGCATGAGATTCAGGCCTCATTAATGAGTAATCAGAAAGTGTTTAAAGAACTTAAACTAGTAGATAGTTTCATGGAGAGAATCTGTAGTTTGTAAAAAGTACTCCACGTTTCACTAATCACATGAAGAGAAAAAAAAATACAATATAATATATTATTATGACACTGTCAGAAGAATTAGACATAGTATTAATCAGATTAATACCAACCTTGTCTGGTGCAGCGCAAGACTTGCCCTGCCAGGGCCAGAAGAGAGGAGCATTGTCAGTTCAAGTGTTTCCAGGGAAGCCGAGATAAATCCTGAAATAGCTGTCACTCCTATGTCACTGCCTCCGCCTGAGAACAACTCACTCCAGATAGCAGGTACTGTAACTAAAGAGTGTGAACCAATCATCGAAGAGCCAGCAACGCCAGAACAAGAGTTGACCGAGGTATCAGAAAGTGAAATTGAGGACTTCTTCTGTGAGGACCCTGATGAGATTCCTACGATCAAACTCAACATGGAAGAGTTCACAGCTACATTACAAAACTATATGCAAGAGAAGATGGAGCTCCAAGAAGGTGACATGTCCAAGGCCTTAGTTGCCTTGAATCCAGAAGCTACTTCTATCCCTACACCCAAGCTGAAGAATGTCAGTAGACTACGAACAGAGCACCAAGTGTAAGTCCCTGTCTTCCCATTTCACAATACCACATATGAGTAGCAATACAATCAGACACAAATTCGGCTAAAGTAGGACCAAAGTCTACTTTAAAGTTTGCACTAAATGTTTTAATATCTACGAGTGGGATAAGTAACAACAAGGCCCTCACATGTTCAATTAAACATAACATTTTATGTTGTCTCAATAATGAATTCGCTACCATCAGAATTCTTGTACTGCATTTTAAATAACTCTATGCCTAGGATATGTTATGAGTTTTGACATACATACCTATACAGAGACGTATGCACAGACATAACTATATTTGTTTATGACAAACTTATACATTCTGTGCGGATATAATGCAGGTATGAGCTACCTGATTCACATCCACTCTTGGAAGGGGTAGGTTAAAATTTAATTTTGTATCTGGAACACATGAAGCATTCTTAATCTCAATTACTCACTGTTCAACTTTACAGATGGATAGACGGGAACCAGATGATCCAAGTCCATACCTTCTAGCTATATGGACACCAGGTAAGCTTAAGAAACCACTGATAACTGAGATACATTGTTTGAGAATCTTGTACACTTTTCTAAGTGATACATTTGTTCTGCACCGCTGTATACCAGGTGAAACTGCAAATTCAATTCAACAACCAGAAAGCAGGTGCGGCTCCCAAGATCAAAACAGATTGTGCAATGAGAAGACATGCTTTTCATGCAATAGTATAAGAGAAGAAAACTCGCAAATAGTCAGAGGGACGATTTTGGTAAGGAAAATTTAATTGAAATAATATGTAAACAAAATAGACCCCCTGCAGTTGTTTACAAAAAATTAATTCAACTTGTCTCAGATACCTTGTAGAACAGCAATGAGAGGGAGCTTTCCCCTCAATGGAACCTACTTTCAAGTTAATGAGGCAAGTCTTCTTCACTAATTTCCTTCACCTTCATCTACTGTGCACAATCTGGACTAAGTTAATAGCAGTCCAGAAAGTACACCTTATCTAAGTTAGAGGCACTCCTCCAACCCAATAGGTCAAAAAGAATCTGCTATCTGCCTATAACAGAGTGCTCGAGCCATTAATTTCCACATTTATAAATAAAACTCTATCATGATGCAGATGTTCGCAGATCATGAATCTAGTCATAACCCAATTGATGTTCCAAGGGGGTGGATATGGAATTTGCCAAGACGGACTGTATACTTTGGAACTTCGGTATCAACAATATTCAAAGGTATGAGAAATTGAGATACCAGGGTTACTTTATAAGATCCCAAATAGAAATGTAAAAGTAACTCACAATGAAATACCTGTCTATCAGGTCTATCAACAGAGGGAATTCAATACTGCTTTTGGAGAGGTATGTGATGCTGCCTTCAGTTCTTCATATTAGTTTGAGCCTTTGAGAAAACGATTTAGGAACATATGACACTGACTTCAGCTCTTTATATTATTTTAAGGATTACTAGTTAGGAACATAGTACACAAATGAGAAGATAACCCAAGATCATGAATTTAAATTCCAACACAACCTACTTACATGTTTGCAACTACGTCTAGTTTAAGAACTTCATCTAGTCGATTGATAACTAGATATAAATGCACCCACGATATTAGAATATCCAAGAGTAAGTCAATAAAAAACCAATTGTATTTGATCATTGAGTAAATACATCACGTTGGCATAAAATTATACTATTTAAGCACCTATAAAGTTAACACATGGAGAAAGAGGTGGTTAATTTACACATCTCTAAAGCATAAGTTCTTAAGGTGGGTGACAGTTGAAAAAAGAAAACATTGTTTTGCAGAACCGATGTCTGCTATTTGGCAGTCAACTGACGAGATGACAAACAAGTTCCCTTGTGGATTAATTCATTTACTTGCAGGATATGTTTGTGTGAGGGGATTCGAAAGGAAAACAAGAGCACCACGGCCCTTAATGGCCAGATTGCACTTCCCTGCGAGTAAGATGACTAAGACAATAAATGAAGGGAAGAAATAAAACTGACCATGGCAATGGCACAGAGAAGATTTTTCATCAGATTTGCAGAAGACTACTGACTGTATGAGAAGAACAACTACTAACAAATTCTAGCACATTCAATTATTCTTCCTCTAGCATGAGATGCACACATTATATGACAGGCGGGCAGCAGAAAGCCAGCATCATTCAGAAAATGTGAGATCTCGCGATGAGTTGATTGTATTCTGTACAGATTAGTTGTTCAATAAATTCCCAGAAAGGAGTAATCCTTTCAATAAATTCCCAGAATATCCGAAAACATTATAACGGTTTATACAAAGAAACTGGAATGAAAGACTTTATATACAGCTGAAGAAGGTGTGAAGTCGAATCATTTAACAAGTAACATTGTAAATGATGTTTACCTGCACTCATTGGTTACTGCTGATGAATAAACCCGTTCAAGCTTCTGGAGAAGATACGCTCAGTAATTCTGTCAAAGAACAAGAATTTTCCTGAACTTGTTGAAATTTTCAGAAAAATCAATTTATTTTGTATTAAAAAGGAAATATAAGGATAATCGTCTAAACACGAATCAACAGAACATATCAAAATTAGTATTGTCATAAACCGATTAAAATCCCGTGAACCAACACTCTAACGAGAAGGAGAGAAATCAATGACAAGGGAAGAAGGCTGATGCAACCATATCCAACACATTTTCTATCTATATTTTATTTATGCTAATACCATACAGAACCGAAGCAGGTAAGATGCTACCTTCCACCCTAAGAATGATCGTTCTACGACAGATGATTCAGAGTACGGTTAAAAGCACAACAATGTACCCTAAGATCGTAAGATCGTAAGATCGCAAGATCATCTTCGCACGAGCTAGATATACGCTGAGATGATTTCCAGACTCTAATTCGGATATAATTTAGAGGCATTCACATTCACATTTCGACAAACTAACTGCAGGAATCTCATTAGATCCATCAAATCCTACAAGCACAAAAATATATTGCAAGGAAACCTATAAGATCCTGTATGCTTCCCATAATAAATATTTTCCTAACTACGAAAAAATCACTCCTAGATAAACCAACAGACATATCCGATATTGATTTCACATACGACCCTTAGTTGTACATCTCTAAATTTCGAAAATAACTGCTATCAATCATAAATTATGATAATAATTTCTAGCATTACTGAAAGAAAGTGCACAAATAAACCCAGAAAAGCATTCCTTTGTTATCCTCGTTTCGAATCCGATGGATTCCAAAATTTACAGGATACTAGATTTGTTGATATTTGTAATCTGAATGTCAATAATAAACAATTCCTACTGTTTAATAAATGATACTTTTTTTGAAACGGAAAAGTGTTGATTGCAGTAATAATTATCAAATACTAAAAAACCAATGGCGGATACGATACGAAAATTAAACCAAGTACAATTGAAGTGCCCATCACAATTCTTACTACTATTTTCTTTTGACATTCCACTGTTTTCTCGGCAACCAAACAGCAAATAGAACGAGAAATAAAAAACAGAGTGAATAGAAAGCTAGGGTTTGAGAGAATGAACCTGCTGAGCGTATCGGAGACGAGTTGAGAGACGGCAATGAAGCTGCGGAAATCGGAAGAGAGATGGAGTTGCATTGAAATTGCGGGATCCCGATCCAGTGTTAGGTTTTGGGGATGAGTTTCAAATTGGAATTTTACCGCCTTTTGCACTTTCCCTCCATAAATGGAAACTTCATCTCGCTGACGGCTGGGATTATATGACTTCCCTCAGACTCTCACCGTATGGCAACGTGGAGAAAAAGTAAATAAAAATATTGGGGGTGTAATTGTCAAGATTTCATAGTCGTGTTAGCGGCCCATTATTAATCATATTGATATTGTCTCAACTTAATCACATGTATAACCGATGAACATGATGTTATAGTTGATAAAAAAAACGTGAATTCTGGCACAAAATAGTGTTTATGCGAGTCACTAATGATTTTAAGTTTTCGACGTTTATTTTCGTCTCACGAAGGTTTTTAGCGTTTTATTATCGTTTAGTAAGCTAAACACTAAACTAAAATATCTTTCAAGTTTCAAAATTATTTTGGAAGTTTTAGAATTTTATGTTTTGCTTTCCTTTCCTTTCGAGACTAGTTTTTCTCAAACTTCTAGTGTTACATAAACTGTCAGAAGGTGATCGTTCGTAATTCTTTTACCTTTAAAAATTTTACTTTTTTTAACAACATTCTTGATTATCGATGTGGAGCCTAAAATAATCCCAAAAAATCTAGAAGCAACACGTGAACTTTTGCCCAAGAAATACAAGATTGCCCTTAATAAATGGGCAGGTTCCTCAGATACTCTCACGTGCAGCTCACATCCTTGAAGGTCCCAACAGCTGAATACGACTGCTCACAGCTCACCTACCCTTGGCAAGGAAAATTCAAAGCATTAAAGATAAGGATTAATTACCCAAATCCTATCTTTAATACATTCCCAATTGAAGATTGAATCCATTTAAGTAAGTAATCCCTATTTAATTCAATTAGGGATAACTACTTCATCATCTCAAGATATTATTCCCTATTTAATATTTGAGATAAATATCTCTCCATAAACATTGGCCAATAGGATGCCGCCATGTGTAGGGTAAAACCCTAACACTATGGCCAGCCCTCTCTTCCTATATATACCTCATATTCTACCAAAATTAAGAACCTTTTGCTACCCTAAAAAACCCTAAACACTTTACTCTTCTCAGAGAAACTAACTTAGGCATCGGAGATCCATTGGCCTACCCCCTCCCCCACCTCGTGGACTCGTCAGTCTTAGGTCCTTGATCAAAGGTGTTAATTGTTTTGTAGGTGCATTTTTGTTAAAGCTAGAGACTGCATAAATTTGCATTGACAAATTGGTGCTTTCATTGAGAGCTGATTCAAATACTCGAAGAAGTCTCTTGCATTTGTTTCTTGAATTTTCTGTTACATTGAATTTCTCACACGTCATATCAATTAATTTTTCCTAGAAAAGTTTCTTGATCAACCCTTGGAGAAATGATACAATGGTAGGAAATTTGGAAACCACAACGAGTGGAACCCCGTACGTACAAGGATTTGGACCGGAGAATGGAGACGAGGACATAGCCCTACGACGGTGATCCTCGAGGTTCAACGCGACGGTAGGAGAAGCCCCACTACCGTGGAGCTGCACCACCACCGTTGTTGGGACCTAGCAGCCACGACAAGGCCACCAGGACATAACCCAAGTATCGGCATCGCTGCCCTTGCAACATCCTAACCCTCAAAACCCTAGGCAGAAGGCCCATCCCATTCCAGCAGCAAGCTTAGTTGCTGCCAGCTAGGCATCTCAATTGGCCTAAGCCTAAGCCACCCAGCCAACAAGCCATGGCAAGGCAGCCTAACGGTCAGGATGGCTCAATCCGGTACAGGCCTAACATAAGGAACCAACATCGACTCAACGTGAAGCACATGCCTAAGGCTAGTTGCTACACACGCGAGCCTAGCGCGCCCAATTGCATGTTCCAACCATAAAGTCAGGTTGGCTTGCCTCGCGACCAGCTTTGACGACCTGGCTAGCGGCCTAATTCAACCTTAGGCCACATCTGGTGATCCAGATTTTAACCACCAGTCCCGCAATCGACTCAGGGTTATTTTCATCCTACTTTTCTGCATGAATGCCTGCTCTGGGCTCAAGCTTCGTACCTGCAGTCCATTACATTTCCACCACACATGGAGACACCTATTATCTAGACTCTTCCAATCCAAATGGTAAGCACCATCTGCCTCAACAGGTTGCCAATTTGACAAGCGCCTTCGCGCAGTAGACCACTTTGGTGAACCAACTCCTAGAGCGCATCGAGATGCAGCGCCCCCCTAGACGAGGTATCCCCAAGTAGGACAAAGGCAAAAAAACGTGACTCATTTCAACAACGTCCTGGTAAAGAGTCGCTCAGCCTGTCACGAACCGTGCGTTCACGTAGTGTGCACTCTTGTTTAGGCCCTCGGGAAAACGTCTTACTCTGCCTAGATGCATAGAGAAACGTTCATTCTCAACTCGACTCACGAGTCAATGTGCATTCGAGGTTGGGTCCACACTCTAACGAGCACTCAGAACATTCCAGGCAAAGCATCCACACAAGGTTAAACCCATAAGGAGATTCTCTTGCGAGGCACCGGAGCAGGCAGCCACATGGCGGACTGAAAAGAGCATGAAAGCAGTCTAGCTCAAGTTCCACTGGTAGCCCCCGCTAAGTACGATGACGAGTAACACAAAATGAACCATGTGTACTACGATCGCGGTATAGACGAGCATGACATGCCGAAGAGCAACATGGACCGGCAGGTCAACACCGAGGGCAGTTAAAGCTTCCACTGCCCTACCAGGCCCAAATCCAGAAGGAAGTACAAAGGCTCGTAGTAGAACAGTCGCGCGAATTCCAACATATTGATACTACCAACGATGCCCTTCGTAGAGACATGGCCAACATGAGCAGGTCATTGTTTACAAACGAGAACGAGCAGATGGAGTCACCGCAGAAGTTTAGTCCGCTACATTTCACCTTGTTCAAAGGAGAAGAAGATCCAGACAGACACTTGATGCACTACCAAAATGCCATGACCATCTACTACAGTAATGATGCTTACTGGTTCCACACCTTGTCGCCACAATCAATTCAGAACTTTAGTGAACTTTCCTTGGTTTTCATTAAGGAATATTCGTTTCATTGCTCGATCAAGAAAAAGTCTGACCACCTTTTCAACATGAAGAATGACCTGAATGAGTCACTTTGCACATATGTCAAGAGGGTCAAGGTGGAGAAGATGAAGATTGTCGAATGCAATGACAACATTGCGTACTCAACCTTCCGGAAGGGGCTTCCAGCAGATCACTCACTTTTCGAAGAACTGATCATGAGCAAGAACTTGACCCTAGCAGACTTTTATGTTTTGGCAGAAAAGCACTCCTTTTAGGATAAGGCCAAGCGCTCCCAAAAGCCTCTTGAGCAACCGCGCAAAGGTGCAGAGCTGACTCAAAAAAAGGCGAGCGTTAAACCGCTTAATGATAAAAACAAGCTAGGAAGCAGATGTAGGGATCGATCCCTGACGAAAAGAGGCACAACGTCCAAGAAGTACACATTATATGCTTAGTCCCGATCAACCGGATCATTTGCGACCTTAAGGATAAGCCGTGGTTCAAAATGTTGCAACTCATGAAAAGGGAACACCTCCAAGATGGACCAGACAAAATACTATGCATTCCACAGAGGTCTGGGCACGCAACCAATGATTGCACCACATGAATGAAGTACCTTGAGAACCTCGTGAAGGAACGCAAGTGCGACTAGTATGTCGACAGGCCAGCTGCTCGGCCAAGGCGAGAAGCAAACGCCGATGACGAACTTCTAGCCAAAACGATCCAAATCAATGGAATCTTCATCGAATCCGAACATCTAGGGGTCACCAACAGTTCCAAGAAGATGAAAATCCAGTAGGCAAGATTGGTCTTTTAGGTTCAAGCCATAGATGCTATACCTGGACTAATTGTCGACTTCACCGAGCAGGACGCTTAGGGAGTAAACTTTCCCCATGACGATGCCTTAGTGATTTCTGTTCAACAGGCCCACGCCATCATTGACAGAATTATGGTGAACAATGGCAGCTCAGTTAACATCCTACAAACGTCAGTCATCTAGAAGATGGGCCTGTAAATCATGATTAGACACAAAGCTTAGGTCTTGATTGGATTCAACGGACTTACCTCGACTGCCATTGGCACTATCATGCTCGACGTAACCAGCCCTCCAATTATCTTATTGCAGACCTTTATGATCGTTAGCGATCCATCTCATCATTATGGGATATTAGGCTGACCTTGGCTAGTGAAGATTGAAGTTGTGACCTTGATCAAGTATCAGAAGATCCAATTTCTCATCCCGAGAGGAGCATTTTGAGAGATCAAAGGTGACAAGGCCATGTCTCGTCGATGTACTATACAAGTTCTCAAGGAGTCAAAGAAGAAGTCTTTCATCCCAGCAGTAGCAGTTGAAGTGCAGAAAGATGATTCTACCTCCGCCAAATAGCAATTACAGTAGATAGATCAAGAAGTGTCGTTAAGGTCGACAATGCCCTAGTAGATGAATTAGGATGATGGAAACCCGAAGAAGACGACGATCATATCTTGCTTGACCCTAAGAAGCGATTAGACCACTTTGAACGTACATCCAACAAAGATCTAAGCGATCAAGGCAATCAGGACTCATATTGAGACAAACGGAACGACAAAGTACGAGAAAACATTACAAGACTTGAAGAAGTACCTGACATCACCTCCCCTACTATCCAAGCCAAAAACAGTGTATGACCTTTACATTTATATAACGATATCTGAAGTAGCAATAAGCTCTGCCCTCATACAAGAAGAGTTGAAGGCCTGTATTCCATACATCTAAAGCTCTCATCGATGAGGAAACCAGATACCCGAAGATTGAAAAACTAATTTTGGCGCTAGTTGTTGTAGTTCGAAAGCTCATACCCTACTTTCAAGGACATCTGTTCATTGTCATGACCTAATATCCACCACGATCAGTTTTTCATAGTCTAGATGCTTCTCAACAAGTAATGAAGTGGGCGTTGAAACTTGGCCAATACTACTTAGCATACCAACCCTGCACGACAATGAAGGTCCAGACATTGGTGGACTTCATAGTAGAATTCACTGCAAGCCTGAAAGACGCAACAACTCAGCCCAAAAGTTCCCTAGCATGCTGTAACCGCACCAGCCCCACCTGTAGGAGATTTCTAGCGTTTGCAAGTCGACAGATCATCCAACTACCTAGGATCGGGAATAGGTTTAGTTCTTACTACCCCAGACGGTTAGATGCCGAGCAGGCGATCACTCTAAGCTTTAAGGCATTAAACAACGAAGCAGAGTATGAAGCCTTACTAGCAGGTTTTTGATTAGTGAAAGACTTAGCGGTGAAGAAGCTCGCGATCTATTCCGATTCTAGCTGATCACCAACCAAACCTCAAGGGAGTACGCAACAAAACATCGAATGATGGCTTGATACCTTGAGAAAGTACGAGAGCAGCAAGCGACGTTCCATGCGTGCACACTCACTCAAGTTCCACGAGTAAAAAATGCATACGCAGACTCACTAGCAAGCCTAGGATCTGCCTTAGACCATCAACTCAAACGCTTCATCCCAGTCGAGTACTTGGATAAGCCGAACATAGATGAGGAACTAGCAGTTGAGGTGGTGTAGATCAGCACAACTTCGAGTTGGCAAGATCCCATCATTGACTATATAGCCAACAGAACGCTCATTATAGACAGATTGGAGTCCAGAAAGCTCCAAATTAAGGCAGCACGTTACTACATGTGGAACATCATGCTCGTTCGTGGATCATTCTTAGGACCACATCTCTGCTGCCTATCACCTTCCTGCGACTTAAAGATTCTTAGCTCAATCCACGAAAGCGTTTGTGGAAACAACTTTAAAGGCCGCTCCCTGGCACAAAAAGCTCTTAAAGCTGGCTACTACTAGCCAACCATACATCAAGATGCCAATGAGTATGTACAAAGGTACGATAGCTGCCAGCGCTTCAAGTCATGCTTGCATTAGTTGCCAAGGAATTACACTCGCAGGCGAGCCCTTGACCATTCATGTAGTGGGCGATTGACCTGGTAGGACTAATGTCGCCTGCTGTTGAGGGCAAATGCATGATGATCATAGCGACCAACTACTTCACAAAATGGGTCGAAGCCGAGCCCATAACTACAATTACCCAGACGGACATAGAACGCTTCATATGGAAAAACCTCATTTGCCGTTTTGGTATCCCTCACTCCATCGTCACAGACAATGGTTCATAGTTCGTGGGCAAAGACTTGGCGAAGTTCTTAAAAAAATATGACATAAAGTGGCACATATCCACGCCCTGGTATTTGCAGGGTAATGGGCAGGACAAGGTGTCCAACAAGGCCATTCTCGACTGCCTCAAGAAGTTTTTCTTAGACAAGAAGGGCAAGTGGCTAGACGAGTTCCCCTGGTGTTCTATGGGCATATCGCACCACTAAGAAATAAGCAACCGGCAAAACTCCATTCTCCCTAGTGTATGACACTTAGGCGATATCCTTCCTAATGTCATAGTGCCAAGCATCAGCACTGTACTGCCGAATTTCAAGCAAAACGAGAAGGAGATGGCCATAAACCTAAACTTGGCAAAGGAAGAGCGCGATAAGGTTATCACCTGCATTGTGGCCTATCAACAGTAATTCATCCCCAGCTACAACAAAAAGGCGAAGATCTAGCAATTCTAGCTAGGAGACTTAGTCCTCAAAAAAGCCTTCATAACCTCCTATTGGGAAGGCTTTAAAAAGATAGCTTTCACCTGGGAAGGTTCGTACAAAATCAGTTGAGTGGGCGGAAAGCGTAGCTACACCCTCACCACTATGAGCGACAAAAAGATCGAAAAGCAATGAAATGCCTACAACTTGAGAAAGTGCTACGTGTGACCTCCCACCATTCCTTAGACCCTGTTCAAGACAAATAAAGTTCGAAGACTCAAGCAGCTCGACGAACAAGACTTTGCATGCCAAGAACTATCAGTTGTTATGCATTACTGCCTACAAGCCTGGGTTGAATGCATAAATAAACTGATCACCCCTGTGACAGCATAAGATGCCTATGCCCTTGCTGACATGGTGTATGCTCTCTCATTAGGAAAGGGTAAATTGATCCAGGATATCTAGACATGGATGAGTTTTACGACTGCTCAGTGCCCCATGAATGCATCAACTACCTACGCCGGATAACTCCTAGAATTTGCCATAATAGTCTTTCTCTTAGAAAAACTTAGCTGACTGAAGGATTCAATTCCGCGGGAGCCCAGGTCTCTAACCGGAAAAGACGATAAGTGCATGATTCCTGCCCATGAAAGAATTTGCGTGACTGGATGGTCTTTCCTCGATGTGCAAGTCTTCATGAACATAACTCGGCTCTAAAGTGGTGCAATAATAGTTAAGTGACCTGCGAAATCAAGTTATAACTCGAAAGGATATGACCTATGAGGCACAATTTTGCTTACACCTTAAGCCTAAAATGCCTCTGAGAGCCAGAGATGACGCCTAAGTGGTCATGCGAGCTATCTACTTTTGTAAGTAAGACACTCGGCAGTCGACGACCCAACGGTTGGTAGCCCAAGGTAATCTGTAAGCTGAGACTTACATATGCAATGACTACGTGGACCATTTGCTTATTTACAAGCAGCGCTTTTGGCCGACGATCTACGATTTAAGTTTTGTTAGAATTAAACCGAAATGTACAACCATAACAACTACACATATTCCTCTGTTTTCTACGAGAAGCATGTGTCTGGCCGCCTAACTATATACATTAAAAATTTCGTAATTTATGCCCCGGAATGGCCAAGGCTCATGCAGCCGCTAAAGCCAAAATGTATGACTATAACAGCTATGTGGATTCCTTTGTTTTCTACGAGAAACACGTGTCCATCTATTGGCTCTATAAGTTAAAAATTTCGTAATTTATGCCCCGAATAGGCCAAGGCTCGTGCAGTCGCTAAAGCCGAAATGTACGACTATAGTAGCTACGTGGATTTCTCTGCTTTCTACGAAAAACAAATGTTTGGCCACCAGCTCTATAAGTTAACAATTTTGCAATTTATGCCCTTGGGGGGGGGGGCAAGGCTCGTGCGCCCACTAAAGCCAAAATGTACGACTATAGCAGCTAAGCGGATTCCTCTGCTTTCTACGAGAAACACGTGTCCGGCTGTCGACTCTATAAGTTAAAAATTTCACAATTTATGCCCCAAGAAGGCCAAGGCTCATGCAACTTCTAAAGCTGAAATGTACGACTATAGTAGCTACGCGGATTCCTCTGCTTATTACGAAAAGTATGTGTCCGGTCGCCGGCTCTATAAGTTAAAAATTTCTCAATTTGTGCCCTGGG